TGTTTCAAAATGTATCTGTTTGAATTGGTTTTAAACAGTATGATGAAACTCTTTTGTTCTTCATGATTGCTCTCACAAGAAATTTGCATTTATACTGCTACAAATTTAAGACGCTTTAGGGCAATCATTCATGCTTTTAGGCCAACTATTGCTTAAAGTTTACCAAAAAGCTAACACCTTCATCAGTTAAAGCAGTAAAATGTAACTTTTATGAAAGCGCTCTATTCTTACCGTCCACTTAGTTAGTACTTTAAAGCTTTTATGAATGACTTTGAGCTAACTGCTTTAACCATGTATCATTTAGCCTACTCCAGGCTAGCTATCTTTAAACATTTATCCATTTATATTTGATCTGTTGTATTGTAACTTTCGTGCTATAAATTTCCGATCATTTTATACTTAAAGCTATTTATTATGAACTGTTATCCATTACTTTAACCTGTTTTCATCAGTTGTCCATTAGTCTATTTTAAATGATCTATTTATCCCTCAAAATGTTTTTCTGACCTTTTAGCACTCTCTGTTAGCCAGCTTTTTTTTTTAGCTTATCATTTAACTGTTCACACTTATGAGTGTACCCCAGCCTATATTTTCACCATCTAAATGAAAACTTATTTTAAATGTCGACTCATTACTTTTGACGCTCTATTTTTCATCTTCATCTTTTTGCTCAGTATTTTCACATTTCATTTCATACCTCCTGAGCTTCTAACATTTTATCCATCACATTAGCTTACTGTTATGCCTCTCTGTTCACTTGCAAAATATTTTCAATCAAATTGAATTGATTTCTTGTTTCCCCCCCCACATTAGCTGAGCTTTTCCATGTAATCCTTTGCACCTGTTGAAGAACACCCCCCTGGACTTCCAGTACCCCTGGACGGGAATTACTGATCTACAAACTAACATGCCAACTTACATAAAACCCATCTTATCTTTCCGAGGTCATGCACGGTTATTGCCATAAGCCTTTATACTTGACGTTTATATATACAGCTAAATACTGAAACTGCAGGATCTATGTACACTGTTGTAGCCTATAATTGTACGGACTGATTGCCATATTTTATTTTAATTGGAGAGCTGAAACATTGTGATGAGTACTCTTTATGCCCATGTGTGCCCTGCATTTACACTGAAACTACCTCAACAATATGTGTTGAGGATATGTAATTTCAGCCACTTAGGATCATTAAAAAGAGATCATACTGAATATCCCGCCGAAAGAGGGAAAGAGAAAGCGAGAAAGAAATAAAGAAGAGATTTGTTTGTCAGTCAATTCCGTCCCTCTCAATCTCCTTAGCCTCATGAAAGAGGGGGAGAGAAAGGGTCGGGGTCAGCTTTCTGTAAATCTTCTGATGAAATGTTGACAAAACAGCCAATTTTCTGTAATTTCGCTGCGGCCGTCTTTCAGCAGCTTACTCACTCATAACCCCTTCATTTCAAACAGCAGCACACTGCAACCTCTGACATGTATCTCGTCCCCGGCTCCTTTGGCCGCGCAGAAAGACAGTAACAGTTGTGCCTTTTAGGTCAGGTGGATGCCGTTTAAGAAGCCGGCTTCATAAAGGACTCCTTTGTCTCTCAAACAGGCTCTCTTGGGCCCCAGTAAAAGGATAAGAAATGTAGTTAATAGCTCAGGAGTGGCCTAATCATCGGCTGCCATTACTGCTCCAATATCAGCAGAGATGACAGACTTATCAATAACAAAGGCCCAGCTGAAGCCTCCACCGCTCTGTCATTTTGATCTTTGCTCCACTAATCAGAGCTTTCATTTGAGCTAAGCACCAGGCAGCACACCTCTCATTCTCTTCATGCTGTGCCAGATATCACTCATCTTTACAAGCCACTCTGTATTCCCCCAACCCCAGGCCACCATTTCCACAAATTGGCTTAATTTTTCAGGCAAATATATGACACATCTGAGAGCTCATTATCCCTGCAATGCAACTGATTATTGTACTTACTGCTAAAACTCTCTCTGCTTTCATGGTCTGAGATGTCTTCGGTTGGAGTCCAGCTGATTCTTAAATTGAAATAAAGATATGTCAAACTGACTTACATTAAGGTATATAAATATTCCATAAGCTTATGCTGTGTTCACTTTAGTATAGTACACTTTTAAAGAATTCAGAGTCATGTTGCTTCTACTCTTGGTCCGATACAGAGCATGGACAAGTACAAATAAATATCTTATGTGGCGTAAAACAAGAACACGCATTTTAATAAAAGTCTGTCAGTCAGTTATATAAATTAGAAAGCTGTTGGTGGCATTAGTCTCAGAGAAAAAGAAGTCGGATGTATATATATGTAAATATATACTTAAAGGGTTGATATGATTCTGAGTAGTAATAAACACTTTAATGTCAATATTTCTCTTGTTCATTCTTCCAGAAAAGCTTCTCCATCAAGGAGAAACCTGAGAGGGCCAAAGAGGTGCTCCCGCACCTGCACGAGCTGGCCCTTTCATTTACAGTCCTGCTGAGGATCAGGCACTGACTGACTCAGACACCTGCTATTGGGAAATATGTTCTCCATCAGTGAGCTATAGACTATTTCTGGACAGGAGCACTGGGGGACCATTGTTCCCCACCACACTGACAGCCAAGGTATTCTGGGACTCTTGGCACACATAAAAACAATGTGGTATTCATGTTAAGCTTAAAATTTAGGCTACTTATTTAACATTACAGAAAAAAAAACGTGATTAGAGTGGTATTTGTTGATTACGGCAGATTTTAATCATAGCTTTTGAAACTGAAACAAATGGGGAACATGAAATATTCCAGAAGAAGCTAAGAAATTACGGGTTTTTAAATGATTGTAACTAACACAGTAACTGATAGATCAAAATGATTTAACTAAATCAAACATGTATTGCTATTCACCAGATAATACACCCAGAATCACACAAACCTTCCTTTCAAGACAGAAATCTTATCTTTCATATTTAACATAATCTATGGTCCCGGGCTTAACATACAACAGTGGAGCTCCTTATTCCCTCAGTTTGATACATGATATGAGCTCTTTAAACAAATCATCTGGTCTCTGCTCCTATACAGTCTTATACAGGGGCACAGGGTTTGGGGATTTTGCAATGTCATCTGGGATTAAAAAGGAGCAGCACATCAGAGCCCCAGGCCACACCACCTGGAGCCCCCTATACGATCCCTGGCTCTGCACCAATCAGAAGCAGCCCCCATTAGCCCACCACCAAATAATTCCTGGTCAACCAAATGACACTGAGCTAACAAAGCCTCATTTCAGAAAAGATTACAACTCCAACAGGAAACCCTTTGATTATGACTTTGTTTGAAATGTTATCAATACCATGATCATTCCTGCAGGCCAACAAAACCATCTCTAATCACCATACCTTGGCTGCACCTTCAGTTGTGCATCACCCCCCCCCCAATCCCCCAAAAAAGGTCGAGAATAGAGGAGTGATTTGTTAAACACGAAGCACGTGCAATGACAAAGCGATTCCTTTCTCCCTGCTGATCACCCACCTGCACACAGATTAGGTCAGAAATTCACCTGAGCTGCCAACCTGTCACTCACACCCTGTAAAAAAAAAAAAAAAGAAACACACACAGCACACATTCATTCCTAGCAGACAACAGACAATAGTTTACCTGTCTACTTTTTAGCAACTGAAAAACAAACACTCAATAACGTTATTAATCAAATACAACATTAACAGTAAACTGTTTACAAGTAGCTTTAATATCCAAAGTAAACAAACCTTGTTGTCTGCATTGGGTGACTGCCAAACAATAGAAAGCTAAATTCAAGTTCTGTTGTCTTAAAATACTTTATGGCGGTTACACTTACGACAATATCTGTGGTTAGTTTTTTGTATTTTATTGGATGCAGATAACCAGAAATAGGTTATTGGAGATAATAATTGAGTCCGGAAACTGACATAAGCAAGTAAGCCTATTCACGTGATGAATAAATAAATACACTTATTTTAAAGGTTTAATGTTTTTCTACCCTTACATAATGTCATTTAATTGGTTTTAACAACTAGTTGGCCTTGCGAGTTGTGTATTTCACTGGTAGAGAGGAATAAGACGTTCCCATCTCATCATCAATTTAGTCTGTGGCGCCCCCTTGTGGTATCTCTACAGAATTGTCTGGAATCATTATACTACATCAAAAAGATAATGCGACTCAAAGCAAACACTGTTAAAAGAAACTAGTAATATGTCCTGAATATCCTAACAAAAAATGTTCCATACAAATCTTTGTTCAGAGTTGATAAATGCCTCAGAAGTTGTTGTACTGACTACTCAGTCTAACCCCAATGGTGTTACATGGAGTGCAGACTGCAGCAGCTCGGTTCTGCTATTCTGTTGGTGATAACCTAATGATACCCTGAGTTAGTAGGCTGGTTAAGTTAAAGAAATAAGAAACACAATCGGTATCTATAACACTAGTCATGTTAATGTTGCCAATTTTCCGATTTTTACAACACATAAAATGTTTAACAGGCCATTTATTTTATGTAGCCTATTTATGTTGTGCTGGTGGTGTGCTGGGTTTTTGTTGGGGGGGGGGCAAAGTTGCATAGTTGGAAAGTTATAAACCAGTATCATGAAACAGTATCATTAAACATTTATTTTGAGGAACTATAGTGTTACAATTTTCTTCCTCAAACATTTTAAAATCCGAATAAATAACCTTTACTAAAATGTGCAATCACAATTTTTCCGCAGTGATAAAAAAAGTTGAAGCAGTGACACTGATCACAAGTTACTGTCAGGATGTCTGCGGCTGTGACGATAAGAGCTTGAGTAAAGCTTTTCTTTTTTCTTTTTAAAACAACCGCAGGACACTTTGCATTTGTGTGTATCTATATGTTCTCCATTATGTCTTATAATAAGAACATGATGTCTCAGTACACATCTGACATGAGCAAGGGAGGGGCTGCTGCAAAACACACTGATAGAATGAATGCAAAGAGCCAAAAGAACACTTCCTGTTGATGCAAAATTGCAGCAGCAACTGTCTGACACATCTGGACTGGAGAGGGGGGGAGGCCTGGCTGTAGTGTTAGCGAAGTACTGAGGGGAATGGACAAGGTTCAATGTTAATCTGCAAGACGGTGAGTTTGGAGGAGTCAGTTTTCGTGTTGTGATTGAGATAATAATGTGTTTGCAATTTGGGAGCGTCGTTTCTCTTACCTTGGTAGTAATGGAGGATAATTGCCTGCGAACGTAGCAACTAAATGCTAGCGAGTTGCTAGCCGCCACTTAGCACTGGTTTTCACCGAGCTAGTGCTAAATGTTAGCATAGTGAAGCTAACATTGTAGACACTTGAACTGACAGCCGACATAGTTTACACCCGCTGTCGACGTTCAAACTTATCTCCCAGGACGTGCAGCGTTGTCATGCGTTTATTCAGCTGCACAAAGCGTGGCCAAAGCGTGAAACAATCCATTATGTGTGAAAGAAGCAAGTCGGTGGGATGTTAACCCATTTTTTTTTTCTAAGAAATGACCGGGCTCTTGGATAGCTACTAGAGCTAGCTGGCTAGTGGTCGTATGCTGCTCGGGTGGTTTCGGCCCCATGAACAGATTCATTTCTGACTGAGGTTGGTAACTTTAGAAATGAGAGTTGGAGGAGACATCACACTTAAAAAGCTGGTGACAGCAAAGTCAGCGTTGACGATAGCTTCCCCACTTACTAGTGCTTCACATCGGGAGCTAACTTCACTAAAGGAAGGGTTAGGAGTAAAGTTTGTGACACCTTCGGTCTGTAATGTACCTGCACTGTATGCATGTAGCGACAGCACACAGCCTACATCCATACACGGGACTCCTCATGTGTATCACGATTGTTTTTCAGTGATAAACACTATTTTAATACAGCTATTGTGTTTAATAGCGTCAGGCCTGTTTGTAGTCCACCAAACCTATGAAACAATATTTAATTCTCTAAACTAAAAGAAAAAAAAGTCGTCACTGATGTTCCTGGTTGCAACTAATGTAGCTGTAAAACAATGTTATGACAGGTGAGGACAAAGTGCAGACAAAGTGAGACATGGTAAGTTATTCTGTACAGCTGGGTTCACTTGGGTCAACAGGGACTACTTCTATTTCTGTTGCATCCATTTGTGCTGAAATTTCCAAAATGCTGCGTTCAAAGCCCAGTGTGAACCCAATACCATGCCCTATTCCTAGACAATTGCACCAGAGACGGTATAAACGGTATAACTAGAAGGCATGCCAGAACAGAGTGGAGCCAAACAAATTACGACTTTTGCATGAGCGGGCATTATGGCTTTGCACCCATTCCACCCTATTTCTTTTAGCCCCAGTCCTGTTTGGGATAAGCAGTAAAACTGAATTGGTTTAAACTGCCAGCTGGAATTAGGGATTGTGCAATGCAAGGCATAGAGATGTTTGGCACATAAAGTAGCGTCTGGTGAAAACAGGACTCTGTGAGGTTTGTGCTGACAATCTGGAAATTCAGAAATGAATTGTCATAGGTAATTGTTTTTTTTTCCTCTCAATTTAAACAGTTACCAGGCCCTACTCAATAAGCAAATAGCATTACATGTTCTGATCACCCAACTGACTTACTGCGATATTAAGTATTTGCATAGGATGACTGTTGTTTGTGCTCTGGGAAAGTGTTTTTTTATATGTATAAATGTCAGCTACATACAATGGCTGCCTCAGTTATATATTTTTTTACTTGACTATTAGGTAGTCAAAATTCATTATAATCAGCACTGGTCATTTAAAGAATGTCATAGTTGGATGTGAGATTTGGTGAATTTGCCATGGTTGATGTTGCACAACGTTTGATTGAGTTGACTCTCCTCTGATTGCCTTTGTCCTTGCTAGCAGTATAGTTGTTGGTTATAGGAAGCTCTTTTTTTCCTGCATTAAAATTCTGAATCATACCCCCACGATTTAGTTGTGCAGTCTTCTAGCCTTGAGCGGCTCCAGGAAGAAATTCACTGTGTGATCGTAGCAAGCGTACGTCACTGCACAAGACTGTGTAATTGTATTCCTTTTATTTCACAAGTGGAATTTTTGAGAAATAATATGTTCTTTGAATAGTTCAAGATAAAAGGGAGGGGCTCAAATCGTTGTAGTCTGCCATTGCTGTTCATCTGATAATCACATGAGTAGGCAGAGATGAAATATGAGCATTTTCCAGTTATCCACTCCAAGAACACACCCAAGGGCTAAGCATACAATATTTAGCCTTGCATACTCAGATCCCAATAAGCCCCGTTTTTACAAAACATTTTATTCTCTCATTCCTAAAGGTCCTCACATAAAACCTTTTAATGTTAGAAAGAGTCTGTTGGTCTTATTTTTATTATGTTAAATTGCTCTCCAGACCTTCGCTTGTGAAGCATTTTCGCTCTGAGTCCAGTCTGCCCCATGAGCTGTTTTTTCACTGGAAGTGAAATGCTGCTGATGTTGAAAAAAACATTCAATGCTCGCTTGCTGACTTAGATTTTCCTTGTTATGTTTTTTTCCTTTTATTTGATTGACATGGCAAAGGTTTGGAGGCTTAAGGTGGTGTCTTTACAACGGAGTCACGCTGACATTATAGTCTGCAAGGATATCACAATGTACTCGGCATCCTTTTTACCTACATGAAGCAGCTGTGTCAAAAAGGTTTATTGCTAGGCAGAGAACATAAGCTGCAGATGGAATTTTTGAGCTGAGTTAAAACATTTTTGGTTTTTCCCACGTGAGCTGAGCATGTGACCCTCGCCCAGCATGTGCATCTCAACTGCTAAGAATGCGTTCTTTGGCTTCCCTTCAACTTGGCTGCATTTAGTATGCATGCTGTTGGCAGCCTTCTCTAATACGGTTTAGTGTATGAACATGTTGCATTTGAGGGCTGGTAATGGTCGATTGGATATAATGTACACCTTCTTATAGCTGCTGTGTATTGCAACACCCCCCCTCCTGCGCCAGGAGGACAGCATATGTTTTGTTGGACAGGTGTCTTGGCAAGCTTTGGCAACTGGAGAAAGTGTTTACGTTCCCAAAGTGCTGACGGGGACTCAATGCGCAGAACATCTCGCTGAATCGCTAGCAAGGGGCAGGGGGGGAGAAGGAGGTGCAATGGGAGAAATGAGAGTAGGGCAGATGAGGTGAGGAGAGAGGAGAGAGGAGGGTTAAGCTAGAGGATGGACACACACAGATTTTTCAACATGGAATTATTTGCCTTTACTTAAAGTATCATACAGTAGGAATGGATTTGACAGTTTTAACAAATGTCTTATAACTGATTCTGCTGAGAAGGCAGGATCTATGTCTGTTAATATTTTATCAACCAGCTCAAGTCAGTGCATTATGGTGCAAGGGTTGCGTGCCATTACTTGTGCAGCAGCGCCTTCCATCGGGGGATCTGATCTGTCATTTTGCCAAAAAGTGTTGCAGCCAAGTCTTGAATGTTCTGGCTTGTAATTCTATAAACTATCCTAAAGCAGGGAGAGGCAGTTACCAGTTGTGCTCATCAGTAGGAGTGAAAATGTGAACTGCGTTCAGGCAGTTACAATTGTGTTTGCTTCACTCTTTGCCGATTCATATTTATTCAAAGAAGACTTTCAGGTTTTGTAACAGACTATCAAAGCAGCTCGGTGCATTCTCACCTTCCAAGGAGAACCAGATTTTCTTCTTTCCCTGCCAAACGCAGGATGTACACCTTTATGGTAACCCCTTTTTAACAGACAGCATATGTTAAATGAACAATAGTACATTGTGTTCAGTCTGTAGCAATCCTTTCATTTACGTTTACTCTCCATTTCCTGTTTAGCAGGGACTGTAATGAAGGAATAATATATCATTATAATTTAATAAATAGAAAATGATAATTGACTTATGAACCATATGGAATTGAATCTTTAGAATATATTGTTTTCCTTATTAGCCACTCCCTCTAATGTTTGCAGTGGATCTGGTTTATGTTGTGCATCTCCAACTTACAAGAGCTGTTACAGTAAACACGAGTCTGAGAAACTCTTGGTGTGAATTGGTGCGATAAAGATTGATTGATTTCTGAGAAAAAAAGAAAGACCTCATTTTGAACCATTTGATGCTGTAAAAAACCCGAAGTGTTAGAATGCTTATTGGACAGAAATGAGAACAGGGCCATTCTTGTATGGTTCCCAAATGTCACTCGTGCTAGTCAGATCTCATTTATTTTTCTTTCATCTTTGGTATAGTCAGAAGGTTGGACGCTTTAATGTTTACTATGTGTGCCAACACAATTTTTTGAAGACATTACCATGGACAGTCATGTAAGCAAACAGCGATGAAATTGCTCTGCTGCCAGATTTTGCTTCAGACCCCATCCCCCATGCTAGAATCCTTTTGGTTTTGGTACTGTATTGTACGACTTGTGTGAGATTGTAAATGTTTTGAATTCGTTCACTGCATTTTCTTCTGTATTGTTTCTCTGCCTTCCTGAACAATAGAGCCTGACCTTAAGATTATTTAGGCTGTGGCCCATATAAACATATTTAAAAACATTTTTTAATGAACAAGCGTCAATAAACACTTTTGTTTCAGAACATTAAATTTAGTTAAAATCAGTTAAATTTAGTTTAAAAAGATTAGCAAAAATATGGAGGGAGGCGTAAAAATACTCTGTTCTCAAATACATGAGTGACAGACACTGTATTTATTCATTTCCTTTTATATATCTAATTCATTCATATTGGTTTGTAAATTATTTTGAGTTTTTAAGCACCAGTGATCAAGAAGTTATAGGTGTTATGGATAAAATCCTCTGCGTTCAGTAAGTTAAAATCTTACATGGTAACTGAATATGTATTCAGGGCATGCGTCCTATTGTCATCTTCTGCTTAAATACCAATTCATTTACAAAACTTGAGTGACTGGAAATGCAGCTTATAGCTATTTTAAAATGTAGCTTGAAGTGCTGTGATGCTGTAAGACATTCAATGTGGTATCTTGAGGCATAGTAATGGTTTTTAACTGTACTGTGTGAGGTAAATACTCATCTTTAGAAGCCTATTGTATCATTTGTCTCACGAAGAAGGTAAAATAATTTTAGAACGGTGTAATAACAAACTTCTGCGTTTGAATGCAATGTTTCTAATCTTAATTTTTTCGTCTTTTTTATCTTTTCACCTCAGGCCGCCGACAAACTGGAGAAACATATCCAAGAAATGGACGACGGCAGCTACATCGAGTTCGATGTGCCGGAGTTCAGCAACACTGTTCTGACTCAGCTCAATGAGCTGCGGCTGCAAGGAAAGCTGTGTGACATCATTGTTCACATACAGGGCCAGCCTTTCCGAGCCCACAAGGCCGTGCTGGCAGCTAGTTCACCCTACTTTCGTGATCACACAGCCCTCAGCACCATGAGTGGCCTTTCCATCTCGGTCATCAAAAGCCCTGAGGTGTTCGAGCAGCTTCTTGCTTTCTGCTACACAGGTCACATGTCCTTGCGATTTAAGGATATCATCAGTTTTCTCACGGCTGCCAGCTTTCTGCAGATGCAGGCCATCATTGACAAATGTACCCAAATCCTGGAGAGCATCCACTCAAAAATCAGCATCCCAGTTACTGTCTGCAGCCCAGAGAAGGACGACTTGCAGACCAGTCACAATGGGGTCAATGACAGCAACCTTTTTGTGAACCCTACCCAGATCTCCCCCCCTTACTACTCCCGTCAGAGTCAGGCAGCACACGAAGCACGCTTTGAGCTGGCAGGGAAAAGCCTGGGTCGGCGGCGACAGCAGCTGGAGGAAGGCCAGTCAGACAGAGGCAGCAGTGATAGTGTTTCCGAGCACGATACCCCCATGGAGGGTGAAACGGAGCAGGTGGAACTGATTGGCAAAGATGGGCAAGTAACAGATGTGCAAGTGAAGATAGAGAAGACGGACAGGCCCACCTACTCAGATAGCTCCTCAGCCGGCGATGATGGCTACCATACAGAGCTGGTGGATGGAGAACAGGTATTGGCTGTAAGTGTGGGTTCTTACGGCCCCGTCATCCAGTCTGCTACCTATTCTTACTCAGGGCTGACCTCCCCTTGCTTTGTCAACCTAAGCAACTCCAGTCCTTCCCGCTCCATCCTCAGTGGATTTAGAGGTGGGAGAGCCAGGGCAAAGCGCCCCCTGGCCATCCCAGCAGCAGTGCTGAGTCATATCAAACCAGGCTCTGATGACAGCGAATCAGCAGTTGGAGCTGCAGGATTGGAGAATGATGTGCGAGAGCGAAGCCTGCGGAGCCAGTGGTACCCCTACAATGAGAGACTCATTTGCATCTACTGTGGAAAGACCTTCAACCAGAAGGGGAGTCTGGATCGACACATGCGCCTGCACATGGGAATCACCCCGTTCGTTTGTAAGTTTTGCGGCAAGAAGTACACAAGGAAAGACCAGCTTGAGTACCACATCCGTGGCCACACGGACAACAAGCCCTTCCACTGTCAGATCTGTGGCAAATGCTTCCCATTTCAGGGCACCCTTAACCAGCACCTGAGGAAGAAGCACATGGGAGTGTCAGAGGGCAGTAATCACTTGGACTCTCCAGAGAGGACGGAGGGAAGCTCAGTTCAGAAGGACCAAGAAGATACGTCTGAGGGGATGGCCTTTGAGGCACAATATGCAGAAGAGGCACCAGCCGATGATATGGAGGAGAATTCAAAATGCAGTCCAGAGGAGGCGCAAGCATCAAGATGTGATTTTTAGGTCCTGCTTCAGGTTAAGGAAGCTTTAAGAAATGTTTATTTTAACTCAACTTAAAGGACTTTTTTGCTTTTCGAATCAGCTCCCTCCACTATAGACATTTCTTCAAGGGTTTCTGTCAGTTTTGTGAACGTTAGCTGTTAAATGCAGAGAGCAAATGGGTGCTTTTTAGAAATTTGATTCTTTCAAGCAAAGGGAGTAACACCTTACTATTTTATCGGAGGTCCCAATAATCAAGACCCCCTGATTGATTTCTCTTTTTATCTTTCCATGTTTTTAAAAAACATATTTACAGAGTTATATAGGCATGTTGCAATAATTGATAATGTGAAAGCTCTGGTAAGATGCTCGTCATATCACCTTTTTACCTAACCTGTTTTTGCACATGTGGCCACAGAAGGTCACTTACTCACAAGGAATGATTTTTCTGCCAGTGCAAAGCTTCGTGTGACATATCCGTTCAATACCTCATGATACGACTACATACTCATAACAGACAGTATTTTAACTTAAATGAAACTCACCAGGTTCTACCTCATATCCAAGAACCTACCAGGCACAGAAGTGTTCACAGTTTGAAATCCGTTTTTGGTTGTTTGTACATTATCTTATTGCCAAACTATGTAAAGTTTATTCTCTCAACACAAAGCCTTGATACTTAGGGGAAATATTCCTTGCTGATTGTATGGATTAGGGACAAAGTCCTTGTCAAATGTTTCATGGTCAGCCAGGTTAAAATGTAAATTAAGAAGGTGCTAAGTTAGGAGTGCATTAAATTTGCTAGCTTTCGTCTATGTTTTCTTCCACAGAGAATAGAGTGAGAAAATGACCCTGTATACTCACAAGAAAAGATTTTGCCGTCAAAGAACATTTGGTTTTAGAGAAAACTTTTCTCATCACTACTGGATATGTCACGCTGTTGGCCAAGCTGTGGTTTTAGATGCTTTCACCCATAAGATGGATGAGTAACGTCCATACAGTGAAGTCATTTGTACTCCTCTATACTCTGACTTTTACTGAATAACTGTATGTGTAAACCGTTTTTGTCCTGAGGTAGTATTCTAGGTTAATACTCAGCATCTGACAGAGACAAGAGAACTCATTGAAAACTCAGCACAGTAGGAACAGCTTAAGATCTGTTCACACAAATCTATTTAGGATACGTCTGAATAATATGCAAACAGAAAGAACAAAGGAATCTCAGCCATTCTGACATGGTTTTTCTTCCATCATTTGAAGAGCTTATGGTTTGTTTCCTTTTCTTTCATTCTGTCCTGCCCTTTATGGTGGGACATTTGATCTGTGATCTTTAATCTCTATCGGTTTGGGGTCAAAAGCAGACTGGGAACATGTTTTCCTCATTTGTCAGTCCGACTCTATGGTGTTGACAAAGACATGTTTTAGCTGGATTAAGGCTAAGAGGTAAATTTCATTTGTTGTAGCTGGTGATCCAAAGTATTGATACACTTAGCAGAGTTTGTTGGTGGGATCTTGGGTGCTGACCCATTGAATGAAATGTGCAGATTTTTGTCTTAATTCTGGTGCAGCAGCGGAAGTATCAGCGTCAGTACTTTATCACAACAATTTTCTTTCTCTGAGTACAAAACGTTATGAACTTTGATGAGACTCTGCAACCACATGAATGCTCATGGCTTCAAGTCATGCTCACGGCAACATAATTTTTTTATCTATACTGTTTGAACCATGGGGATCAGGGATGGGGTGTTTTTAGTATATATAGAGACTTGGTTTTATTTCCATTGTGATTTCAAATAATCTACATTCACCATAAATACATAAAAGGCACTTAGAAGGCCTGATGGGTTATCCTGTCATGTTAAGCTATTTTCAAGCTTTGCTGGATGGCCCCTTTCTTATTTACCAGTTGGCTGCCTTTTTAAGTAGAGCACCTGCAATAAGACTTTATTTTGCCTCATCTGGTCCGTGCTGAATTGAAGTCAAACACATAGTTTGATTATTTCAGTTTTCACATTATTTTCTACTTGGTGTGCATTTGCTGGGAGAATATTATTTCTTGTTGCTTATTTCTAAGGTTACGTCATGATTGCAGTCCTTATATACCACTGAATGTGCGGTCAACATCTTCACTCATTGGCGGTTAAGATAGCAAACCAAACTTTGGGGGATTTTGCAAAGATCAGTATAGCTAGCTCTTTGTTATCTTTTTTTGTGCAAGAATTCATCACACAACACTTTTGTTGCCACAACCACACAGTCCGTTGACCTCCACAGTAACCTTTTAATGAATGTTTACTTAGTCATGTTGATTTCTGTCAGCCAGCGATGTGATGTACAGGTGTGACAGCCGATCTGACCTCAACAAACTCAGTTGCGAGCTCATCTGAATCTTACTATGATAGTGGTTGCCCTAGAGAACGACAGAGAAGGAGTATGAAATACATACCACCTTTTTGCATTATTATCAGTGATGTTTGTGAGTAATAGGTACAATCTGCTTCAACAATTTTGTGCCAAGAGTTCACACCAAAGACTCATCGGTGGTTTTTAATTATTGACTGTATGAAATGCTCATTAAGAAGATTAGGTTCTTGATTTAATGTAGGACTAATCCATTACTATTTCAGAAGGAATGTATGCTTCCTAGCTAATAACAATCACTTGTATACAATTTGAACAACTTGCTACGAAGACATTAAGCAGTAAAGTCATTAATAGCGTCATATATTAAGCCATAAAAAGCAATTCAAAGTTGTGCAATAGGTATTATAATTGTCTAAAGCCAATGTAATCAAAAGAGAGAAACTTCACAAAAAGTGGCATCTTTAACTTAGTGCCTTGCCACAAGCTTTACATTTAGAATCGGGCACTTAGATTCCTGTGCCTCTCTTTTTTTTTTAACGGATTGAATATAAACCGTTTAATGAAATATGGCAACATGATTTGTTGTAAAGTGATGCCAAGAATGATTAGAAATTAAATCATACTGTATCTGTCCATTTGTAGTTTTTTTTTTTAAGCTCAAGTGCTGCCCCTCATTGTGCTTCTGAACATTTGATTAGTTTTTTGTTATCAGATGATGACTGGTTTTGAGGTTTAACTGCTTTTGTAGCAATCAATTACAATCAAATGAGGCAGACTTGTTCCCTAAAAAGCCATTGCCCCTTGTTTAGAGACTATACTGTATCCCTCCTCTCTATCAACTGAGGACATTCTAAGCAATGCACTGTAGTTTGGGGCATTTCAATGAAGGAAGGGGATGCATACGACACATCTACTTCATCTCTGTTCTCTGACCGTATCTGGCAAGGGAACAGCTGCCTGGGTATTTAGCAGAGAAAGAAACTGAACATTTGTGGAAAAATAAGCTTATCCTCATATACTGTAGCTTAATTGCACGTTGCTCAACCACAAAATTGTATAAACTTGCCAATTGATCATTTCTGAACTTGAGTTTTCATGTTTTTGTGTCATCGATTGTGCACTTACAGTTTTTCATTGATAGATAATACAAATTCCATCCGGGAAGTCTCGTTTATATCATTTTGTTTACCCTTAAGGGACTCAGCTATAATGGCCTCAATCACTTTGGTCGGGACCTTTTCCCCTTAAATGGTGCTTTTAGACTAGTCAGATTATTATTTTGTATCAAATGAGTAAACAAGTCCATGTAATCATCATAGGTGAATGGAGGGGTAATTGTTTAATGCTTTTCATGTACTATAGTTACATATGAGATAGTACACACTTGCAGAACCAACTGAACTTGACACACACACACACACACACACAAACACTCGAATTGACTCTTTGTCAACTCTTTGTTCCACACCTCAGAGAGGAACAGGAGATGCATTATGGGCCACAAGTAATCAAAATGAAGTGTTTACAGGGAAGGCTGTCGGACTACTTTTTGAATTGCAGCTCGTCCTATTCTTTTTTTATAATAAACTCACTTCAGGTAGTTTACAAACACTGATACAGGCTTAGAAAAAAATCTTAAGTCTTCCATAGCTTTTCTGTCAGTTTCTGTCCACTGTGTATGATAAAAAATTAAAAAAAGCAATAACCTTTTTAAAAGCGGTCTATTGGGATCATCAAGCCTATTGAAATATTGGCCTGTCGTTTATCAAACAAACTGAATGTCAGGGAGCTGTTGAATTGAAGACCAAGACAATTTAATATAGGTTTTTTTTTAAATATTTTGGACAGGTTGACTTCCTCTCCAGAAAATTACACTCAAAAGAACAACAGCATTAATGCTCACTGGTGTATTTAAAGCTCAATAAAAAAAATATAACAGTGGTTTCAGTATACTGCAACATAAGAACTGAGCGTGTGGTTTAGTCATCCAACTCAGTGGCACTGTTCAGAGTTGCACCTCCAGCTGTGTCAAAGAATGAAAGGGATTTTGGGCTGCTTAGCCAATGTTTAGGGGAAGGTTATCTGTTGTCATGTTTAAGGTTTAGGGTTCCCTTTGGCTCCTTGTGCAGTGAGACTGTAGTTGTAGTTGTTCAGGATCAAAGGGGAAGTTTTCAGTCTTACTGTTGTTGCTTCTCCTTTTACAACTCTAAACTCTGCACTATAACGTCTCTGGCTCATATGTATTTGGTGACAAGGCAAAAAAAAAACTTAGAACTCAGGGTTTATAGTGTTAAAAGTGGTCTCATTGGACATACAAGTTCATGTCCGTAGTAAAATTGTGCACTTCTCTTCAGGTGGGGAAACAATCCTCAGTCAGTGGTTCCCAAACATTCTGCCTCAAGGTGTCAATGAGCCCATATTTTCCACGGAGCTGAAGCTCGAGGAGTACTGGAGAACCCGAATCGAAAACATGACAGCAGAAATGCCACCAACTCCTGTTTTGTCCACTCTACACACAACCTCACAACCCAACTGTGAACCTCAGAACTCTACTGTTTTGTACAACTATGAAGTAAATGAAGCTAGCTAGAGCTGATGTTGTATCTATTGCCATTTATGAATTTATTTTATAGCATGAAATAAAATATATTTATTCAAATTATATATTTTACTCATAATCATTCTGTGCTGCTTCATTTTGGTTCTTAAGCTTGTAAATTGCTTTTTTATTATGAAAAAATGTCAATAGAAAAATGCGTTTGTAAAATAAAGACGCTGATTTGGCTCTGATTTGTCATTTGTGTCTCAAAAACCTTTTTATTTTGAGTGTGTATTTTGTATGAAATGATCCAGCTCTAAGCATTTGAATGTAAAAAAGGGAAACTCAAACATACTTTAATCCTCAGTTGTATTTACTGTGTGTTGAACCACTTGCTATTCAATAGGTGTTCAAAATGTGCTGCTGGCATGCATGGAATCCATGCTGTAACGTAACATCATCTGGGGAAGTGTCCGATGTATGTGCCGCTGTGACCCTCCAGAGGGAGCTAGGGAATAAGAAATGCAACACGAAATGTCTCTCTCTGTTATAGCCAGGAATACCCCTTTTCTCTTTAAGATTATACCCCATTATGAAAAAGCCATTGCGGCCTTAAACACAAGATTGTTTAACTGGACTATTAAATAGTAACTAATGCATAAAACCTTGATGGAATAATAAGCTGTAAGTGTGCAAACTAAGTACGTTTTTGTTTTGACATTAATTAGTAAACCAGATGTCTGAAGACAGCTTTTCCTCAGATTGTTTTAACGATTAAAAATTGTCTTTTTGTTTGTTTTAAGTGTATTCACTTAATAATAAGCCATTTACAAAAGTCACTGAGGCAACATGATATAATATAAAACGATAAATTGCTTTAATCCCAGATGGCTGGCAATAAAACAAATTTATCACCAAACAAGCTTCTTTTCCTGCTGGTCAAGTTCTTTGCCTAATCCTCAGCAGTGTAGTTTCTCCTTTTCCTACTATGTTAAAAAATGCACCCGGAGAGAGAAATCCACTCACAGCTGTACAACAGTCTCCCACAGTGTTATGTACCATTGTATGTGGGTTTTACAAAAAGTAAGAACATGAGGCAGCCAAATGACCAATAAAACCACCAAATTGGCCTGCTTTGTGCTTTCTCAACATTTTCTTACATTACTTTCAGGCTGCATGGGGCGATCATCATCAGCCTCAATGAGAACAATTCCAGGGTTTTGAACATCTCTTAATCATTTGTTAATATATTGCAGTAATTGATTATCTCAGTAAATACCATAAGACTTGGCAGCACCACTCTTTGCTGAAAGTTCTAATAAAGTGGATGATTGCTTAAATGACAGCATTATAGGGCTGTACAGACATCTGATCCTGAAATAATAGGCTAAATTGCACTGTTCAGTGGAATATAAGCATTAAAACAACCACAAGATACAAGGCCAGGAAACCGAGGTAGCTGTGTTTCCACATGGAGTCTTAAACTGCATTCTACGGGAATGATGTATTGCGGCTCCGAAACACAAACTCCACCAGTTGGATTCATGTAAATAATTGATAGGTATAGTTGTTTCACACATTTGTTAATGTACCTTCAGGATTACCATAATTCCTGTTAAAGCAGTTTTTCCTGGTGCACTTAATTTCCAACATATTTAAGTTATATTTTGATTCAGTTTGTCTCATGTATCCTACAGTAGCAACACACCCATACAATCCTGAAAATGCAGCCCTCTCATCTTCTCCTGTCATCTTTTAAGTCACCATGTAGTTGTTGTAGGTGGCTCCCGAGACAGCATTTAAAATGTTCTTTTTTACCACTATGTTATTGTGCATTGTGTAATGGGGCTGACTCAAACTATTCCTTCATCACTTTTGAGTCAGGCTGAGAAACTTCTATATTGAGCTCTCTGACCACATAAGAATATAGTATAATAATGTTATTGTGTACACAGAGCCAAACAGCCCTGTGAATAAGATGCCACTGCCACGTTACAGGGGATCTGTGAGGAAGAAGTAGGCCTATAGCTGGTGGGATTGAAGAGGACAACAGTGACTAGATAGATAGATAGATAGATAGATAGATAGATAGATAGATAGATACTTTATTGATCCCGAGGGAAATTCAAAGCATCCAGTAGCAGGTTACAAGATGTAAATGACATGAAACATTTGTTACAATTAACTAGGATATATAACAAAGAAAATACCGGTAAGTAATAAAGAAAAAGATACACAGGGCACATAGTTTCAATACCACCATTAATGATTGTTTATTGGTCTAAAGTGGTAAAAGTGGCTACTGCTAATGTAGCTGCCCGTAAGCTAGCTGGTGTTTTAGTAGGCTATTGCTAGCTTAAATTATACTAATGATTAACGGTAATTACTAGTTTAGGTAACTGGTTAACTTATGTCGAGTTATAAAAGTAGCTCTGCCTCTTATAGACATTTTAAAAGTGCTACAAACTCAACACTTTGACCATATTTCAATTTTGACATTTTGCCACTTGTTAACACTTGTTGGAATTTAACAAGTGTATACAAAACATTTCAAGCTTGTTATACTTTGGTAAAGAGCGCATTATATTGTGTACAGACACTAGTTGTCATAAGTTTATTCATAAAAAGCTTTTCTTTAACTGTTTGGCCTTTAAATATTGACTTTGCACTTTAGTAACACAGTTTTAGTTACAATAAAGATAATTTAGTTGCAAAACTTTGAATGTCATTGCTGCTATCATGGGGCTATCCCATTCCTGGGGCAGTTGAATTTAACAAAGTAACTGTTTATATAATTCACACCTGTGCTTTTTCTACACTGAAATCTCAAAAGGTCCACTGTTAAATAAAGTTGTCTACAACTGAAAGGATTGGGACACTGCAAGCAGTCCTGTTTGACCTTGTTAGGCCCAAGATATACTAGCTTTTAACTTCATCTATGTGTGCAATGTGCACATAATGGCTCTTTTTTTGCTTTTTTAATTAGCTGTGCACGTCCTCTAAAATAAATGCAACATGGATATTAGATGCAGAATGTACAGTAGTAAGCAGTTAGTAAGCTCAATAAGGTAAAAAACAAACAAACACGGCAATCATTTAACAATTTATACACCTTTTTCATTTGTTCAATCCCTCTGCAGAATAAACATGCATTCAGAGATCCACAAATAATTTATTTTAAAACCTTTGGACAAACTTAACGGTGTGTTAACATAAGCTGCCTGACTTGCTGACTTGTCATCATGTATTTCATAACATTTGGGGCAAAATATGTTTTGGTAATTTAAGATATGCTACTTTTTATGAATTCGTTTAGCCTATTGCACAACAACTTTTTGCTCAAATATAACTTGTAACAGTGACTTCCACACATCAGCTTGTAGCATCCATGCTGTTTGTTGTTGTTAAACCATTCTGACTTTTCGAATTGAAACACATCGTGAACACACTGAAGTTGGAAGAACAACTTCATAACTTTGAAATGGGCCGAAACAATAATTAAAGCATATGTCAAATACAACCTTTTCCACCTTGTCCCTCTCATTATTTATTTTTTTTTCCATCAGGAGCAGCTTCTTTGGAGTTCTACTCAGGAATAGCAAAGAAGAGGATGATCAGCGAGAAGAGACTTGACTACCACATACAATACAGAAATTCAATTGTCCACAATCATCAACGTCAATCCGGGAAAATGAGCTCTTCAGCTGCTGTCGGTGAGTTAAATCTCTGTTTTCAAACATTATCAGTTGCTAAGTTAATGGTATTATATAGCTGAAACAAGACACAGTTTAATATGTGGCAAACAAGCAGGTGATCAGTGAATAGTTAAGAAAATATTTAGGTTTGAATCTGCATTGACTTACTCTGTCTTTAAAATACTCTATTACAACTAAAGTATTCTTAGCCTCCTGTGCTTGAACTTAAAATTAGAGAAGCCCTGGAAACATTAATGCTATTAGTTCTTTATTTCTTGCTATAAAAAATTAACTTACACAAGCAAAGAAAACTTTTTTTGCCTGCCCCAGCAGTAACATTATCGTTAACATTATACTAGTCTGGTTAATTGGTGTTATATTAATATATTATTATATTATATTATAAGAGTCGAGGCCTCAGCTTACCTTCAGCTCCTAGTGCAGGGCTATTTCAGCTCATTGAATATCTAAAAGAAAACAATCATGTTAATTATTTAATTAATGAACAAAAGTAATGTCATATCAGTAATATAGTTTCCAAATTAATATGTGCAGTGTAACAAAATGAATATGTGCAGTATATCTAAAGTTTATTGCTAAATCCATATGGTGGTTTGCTGTTTTAAAACATGCAAACAAACATGAGCAACTGATGGGAGAATGCAGTATTAAACCAATATAACCAGCTGAGAGGACTCTAAACTTGCTAACAGTATAATGCCGGACAAAGAGAACATCAGACAACACAATTAATTGCTTTTGCTTTTTAATTGTTTTTTATTCATGTAATCTAACCAAATCTATCCTAATTGGCCTCTGATTGAGAATTTGCTGACACATGAAAAATAAATGGCAGCAGGAAGTGTAGCAGGTGAGAGATTTCCTCCTATACAAAATGATTACACTGTGGTTTAACAGGATTTTTATTCGTGGAGGGGATGTCTTTCACAGTTCAGAAGCAAAAGGAAAATGTAAAGGGACAATTTAGCGAAGATAACTTATTACCTCTTGGCCTGACCCAAACCGCACCACAGTGCACCAGTGTGCAATGGTTTCAGAGTACAAGTGTGCTTAGCTGTCAAGTCCATGACCATAGAGTGGAAAAAAGTCAAAAAAAAAAAAAAGTATGACAACTAGAAGGTAAGGCACTTGTCTGGATGAGGACAGAGCTTGAGTTCTGGAAGAGTGTCTGACATAATAACATAAAATCCGTGTAAAGAGGAACATCTGTCGGATTCTGAGAAACCCCTCCATTTCCAGAAAAAGCCTATTTTTTTTATTGGTCATATTTTCCTTTATTAAAACTGATTCAGTCTGTTGTACGGTAGGTCATCCATGCGCCAATAACTTTGACTCACAGTCGAGTAATGGTTTAGAGTCAATTGGGTTGCTGCCATGAGATCAAAACTGGTTTCTCACTCAGCTTCCTGGAATTTGTTTTAAATGAATTAATCAAACCAAAACAGATAGAAATAGAGTTCATTTGTTTGTGTTCTGAGTCTGTCAGAAAATAGTGATAACCGAGTTGAGTTAAACTCTGAAAGGACACGGGCTATATATTAA